GGGGCAGGTTGGGGAGTGGAGAGAGAAAGCAGGCAAATTCTACGGCACTTCCGCGAAGCGCAGGGCTCCAACGCCGACTCCGCCCTCCCGCCCCGCCAGCTCCTGGCAGTGGCCCACACTAGCTCCAGGGAGATCGGGATGAAATAGGAAAGAGACGACCCAGGAAGTAGGGGGCCCCGAGCCACCAGGACTGTCGGCCTTCAATGGGAGTTACCTCTCGCCCCGAGGGTCTTGAGCGTCGCGCTCTCCCCCGCCAGCCACCGCCGCCGCCTCGCCTCCTAGACTCCGGTCACCCTCCTCTTTTCCGTGACGCCAGTGGATGAAAACCCCAAACATTTGCAAATTGAAGGGCTGCAAGGAGGGTACCAGAGGAAGGGGATTGAGGAAAGGGGCGTGGAGAACCGCAGGCACTCGCTTCCACCCCCTCACCCCTCCGTCCCTGTCCTTGCCCCAGCGGGACTGGGCGGCGGTGCAGCCCTGGACTGTTCTCTGGAGCCTCGCCCACCCTGACCGCTCCCCGAGCCAGCAGCGTCCTCAAGGAAGAAGCCGGAGCGACCTGGGATATTGGCGCTGCGGATCCTAGTACCTCAGCCAGAGCCAGGAGCACCCCTGCCTTGGGAAAGTTCTTTCATGGAAAAAGAGCAAGACCCTGAATCTTGTAGCGACAGAAACAAGCCCAGACACCATCCGGTTCCGTGTTGCTTCATGCAGCGGTGGGGACGGGGTGTTCGGTCTTTGGCAGCAGCAGCAGCCAAAGGGAGGGGGTAATCGGGGGTAGGCATACAAGAAGAGGCAAGAAGGATTTGATCCTTGCTCAGCCCATTCAGACCACATCGGGCACTGACTGCCAGGCACTGTGCCTACAGCACAAGTCATTCCAGGTTCCTGCCCTAGAAGGCTTACAGTTCACCCTCTTATCCTTAATTCATCCATTCTGTCTCTGTTTCATTCATTCAATCGTGCACTGAAGGAAGCATTAACTAAGTAGCTATTCTGTACCAGGTCCCTGGCTATAAAGTCCAATGAGATATTGTCCTTACCTTCCAGGGGCTCAGGTGTGTCTGGACAAGTAGACAGAGGCTCTTTGCCCAATGTGACCAGTAACATAAAATGTGCTTGGGAGTGCACAGAACCCAGCCTGGATGGGGCAAGGATCAGGGAAAGCTTCCTAGAGATGTTGTGAGGCATAGGCCTCAATTCCTACTCCCCTTCCTGGCTATGCCCTGGAGCCTGGCCTACCCCTAGCTAGGATTCCCTATCATTCTCACTCTTCCCACTTGGTGCAGATTAACTGGCAGAAGGCAATATTGCTAAAGGTGGACACCTTTGGCTGTTTTGAGGGGTGTGATTTGCAGGCCTCTAGCTCCAAAACTCAAATTCATTGGTGCAGTGAGTAGATCCAATTCCCTGTGCAGGGCTGGTATTTGACCCAACTAAAGTATTTTGTACAAACCCCAAAAGCCCAGGTATTAATTTGCACAGAGAAATAGAACTGTCAGGGAAACCTGAATTTTTGCACCAATGGAATAAAGCAGTTTGGGCTGCTCCTTGGGAAGCAGTTACCAGAAGGTTATCAGAGTGAACCTGGAACCCCTAGAATGAGAAAGGGGATGGTATGTCAAGTCTCAAGGAAGAAACCTTGAATTCGTATCCTCTTCTACAGGGGCAGCCTTGATGCTAAGTGTTAGGTTAGGTGGCTCAGGAGGGGG